ATTATCTAAAAACCCTAAATCAATAAGTTGCAGAACGATAGAAGGCACGTGCAGCATTTTACTACTTTCGAATGAAAAACCGCACAACTTGGACGGGTTTTTAAATTTCGGTTTGCAATCGGAGCGCTTCTCGTCCCTGACGGCACCGCGACGTGTGGAGAAACAGTGCAACCGAACTCTGCTGCGCTGTCCTGGCGCAACGCAGTAAATGCTGGTTGCACTATTTCTCCACGGTGCGCGGTGCCGCCGGGGCCGAGAAGCGCTCCGAATGCAAACAGATTAAAAACCCGTCGAAGTTGTGCGGTTTTTCAAAAAGCCGTAAAATTCCGCGCGTGCCTTAAATCGTTCTGAAATTTATTGATTTAGTGTCTTCCGATGATGCTCAGCAACTTTCTAATTGAAACCAAGCGAAATCAAATCAAATCAAATCAAAATGCTTTATTTTTCTCCATTTGGAGAGGGAAGACAGAGAAAAAAGCAACATAACAGTTGCTTGTAAGGTCTCCATCTCCCCTCAGCAGCAGCGGAGACAGCACACAAAACAGTTAGCTCAAAAAGATGTTTTATGTAATTACTCGTTTGATATAAAACAAAAGCAAAAAAAAATGAAAATGAAAAATCGCCACACACTAACACTGAAAGCTCAACAAAAAATGAAAGCAAATATTTGTTTACCAAAGTCAAAAGTTCTATGTGTAATTCCGCCAAACGATTTAAAAGACGAGGAAGAGTATTTCGCAACATCTGAATTCCATAATTTGTTCTGGAATGCGGCAATAGCCACTTATCGGCGCTGCGTGTAGCATAAATCGTGTCTCTAATTGTAATCTGTGAAATAGACAGAAATACGTTTTCTTTGTTATGAAAAGACTTTTTATAGGTAATACAAAGTTTATAATTATAGAAATTTGGAATCTGTACAATATTAAGTTTTTTAAACAATGGTATTGTATGGGCATCGTATGCAGCATGGCATTTAATACGGACAACTTTTTTTTGCAGAATTTGTATCTGTTTAAGATTTGCGGACGTTGTATTCCCCCTAACCAAGAAGCAGTAGTTATAATGCACATAAAATAAAGAATGATATATTAGAAGCATTGCTGACATTGGGAGTATATGACGATGTTTGTACATAACACCTACGAATACTCTAACACTTTCGACTATATCTATTTTATCGTTACCAAGGCAGAGAGCAGAGGTATGAAAGCAATTTTTATTTCTTGATCTAAAAAGAACGGCTTTAGTTTTACTACAATTAATTTGCATTGAATTAGCCACTGTCCAAGTATTTAATTTATCTAGAAATTTATTTGCGGTACTTATAATCTGCTCAGTATTCGTACCTGAAAAAAATACACTAGTATCATGCGCGTAAATAATAAAACGTACATTCTCATCAATATTTACTATGCCATTGACATACAAGTTAAAGAGGAGTGGTCCCAAAATACTACCTTGTGGCACTCCAGCTGCTAATGGCTGCAATTGAGATCGCTTTTTATCTATTTCAACGCACTGGTAGCGATACTGAAGGTAACATTTAAATATACTTAGGGATCTACCACGCACACCGTACATATAAAGCTTTAGGAGAAAAGTATTTTGATTGAGGCGGTCAAAATCCTTTGAAAAGTCTATAAATAGTCCAAGTGTTAACAGCTGATTTTCTATATTGCTTAAGACTAACTCCTTTTGCTTTAATACTGAGAGTTCTGTAGATCTACCTTTTCTAAATCCTTATTGAGAATCGGTAAGAATAGAATATTTTTTACAAAAACTATACAACCTGTTATGTATAATCTTTTCTAAGCCTTTAGAGAATACTGGTAGAACGGACACTGGCCTAATATTTCCCAAGTTGTTTTTTTCCCCACCTTCGTACAGTACCGTTACCTTTGCCACCTGCATGTTTTTCGGAAAAGTTCCAATCTCTAATGCCAGATTAAAAATATACGTCAGACAGGGAGCAATGCACCGCAATACATATTTTACAGGTTTAATTTGAAGGTTATATATATCAGTGCTTTTACTATTCTTTAAATTTTGGAAAACTGAGTAAACTTCATCTTGATCATTGCGAAGAAGAAGAGACCAGGAGAAATACTCTGCACAAATATAGAAGCATCCGCATAGTGTACACTTTGAACAAGGTTAACAAAATACTCATTGAAAGTTTCCGCTAAAGCAGATCCCGTTAGGTTAACACCTCCGATTTCCATTTCTGTGATTTGATGCCCACACGATCCTTACTTAATTATGCCATTCAACTTTTTCCACGTAACATCCGGTCGCTTAGTATCTAGAAATAAATTGTTAAAATAAGCACGTTTAGCTTGCCTTAAATTCTTTGCAAGTTGATTTCGTTCCTTTTTGAATTTAGACAATATACTTGCGTCTTTAGTGCGCACAAATTGGTGATAAAGAGCATTTAATTTATTTATCATTCTTAATATTTCTTTCGTAATCCAGGGTTTACGAGATTTTCGGGAAACATTTTGCAATTTGTAAGGAAAACAGTGGTCGTACACAATTCTAAACTGTTCAAGAAAGCAGTCAAACGCCTCATCTGCCGACACGCTGGACAGTGCCGCACCCCAGTTTACAGAATTCATAAGGTGTTCAAAAAGTTCAAGGCTTTCAGCGCTTATATTCCTGAAGTTTACTTCAGGATCACGAGTTTCTTTTAGGTTATAGCTCACATTAGAAAGCAGATATATCGCAAGGTGATCACTAATTGTTTCCCCAACTACTCCGGCAATTACTTCTGACGTAGAAAGGTTTGTCAAAAATAAGTCTAGTAACGCCTCATGGACAGGTGTTACACGAGTAGGTTGAAGAATAACAGCCCCTAAACACAATACTAAAAAGATAATTACGCAAAAATAATTAACTAATTAATTATCCTGAACTTAAATAATATTTCCTAAATAGGCCCCTGGCCCAGGACGAAAACGACACCAGGCTTTTTTTGTTGTTGTTGCGAGCCGTAGTTTTTGCACTATTGAATTTTCCTTCTTTTCGTGAAACACCCCCCTTTCTCTCTCTCTCTCTCTATACATATATATATATATATATATATATATATATATACGTATACGTGTGTGTGTGTGTGTGTGTATAAGGCCTTTATTTGTTGAGTGTGTTAACGAGTTCGTCAGTGAGAGTAAAACAACTACTCTCTCGCCCCTAAATTTAGCCAGTATTCGGCGCCATTTTCAAAGATAACTGCTGCACCCCCGATTAAACCTCGGGCAATGCCTACAAGTAAAAAAAAAAACGCTGTATAGTGCCATGAAAGGTAATCATGAAAGATTATCTTAAAAAGTACTTGTACTTCAATTTGAAAGTACGTTGTGTTTATTCACTTTACCTAGTTCAAATACCTTGCGCCAGGTGTACATACTATTTACTTGAAGTGCATATCCTCTTACTTACTTTGCACTTTACTTTAAGTACGTTTTCTGGTTGTGCGTTACTCAACACTACTTTATGGTAAAAGCAACATTTCAGAGCTTTATATATACGGTGTTGTCTTCCTTTACATTAAAATGTATTAAGACTAGGATTCCGTGTTTTCGGGGTTTTTTTTTTGTTCAAATTTGAAGGGTGTTTTTCGGAGTTCATCTTTTTACGAAAATTCGTACTTTATGGGAGTGCATTTTTCCTTGTTTACCCATTCTCCAAACTTCTGAGTTTAATTTCGCAGTGTTTCCTACGAAAAATAAATAAATGAATAAATATCACCCGAATAGAAAAGTATGTAAGGTGGAAAAATAAAGATAAGACGCGCTTGTATAAATCAATTTTAATTCAGCTGGATTTGGCGTTGATGCTATTGACATTGGCAATGCTAATTTGTTCCATGACAAAAGTTTAACACAATCGTTGCTCCGGTGAAAGTCGATACCTTAAAATCAATAAACTCCCGGAGGTTGTCGCTAAAATACGCGTAGTCATCCCATTCTATTTCATCAAACTACTCCGCGGCAGCGCGAGGTGGAATGGTAAAGGAAGTAATAGAGAAGTTTCACTTTCCCCTCTTTCCACATTTTTTGCAATCTTTATGGTTCATGACTTTTACTGTTACAAAAACAGAACCTCTCCTCCCTCTAAAGTGTAAATAGTATACCCCAAACTATGAACCACCACAGTGGCTTTTGTCGTGACTCGAAAGTACATTGACTTTTCTTTTTACTGAATCAATCTTGACGGGATGAGCGGTAAGACACCTTTTGATAATGGTCCGCGATTTGCAGGGTAACTTTGGTGGCAATTTCCGAAGATCATTAACCTTGTGAGCTGATCAAACTTAATTTTCAAACACCGTATTTTTAGGGGGGGGGGGGGGAATTGGCTCATCGAAATTCGGAGTTTATCGAATACATCTGAATTGACCAATATTTTTCGGAGTTTTTCGGATGTACGAAAGCTCTGAACCCTACTTATAACTTACCATGGAAGCTCAAAAAGCACCCGAAAATAGCAACGGCATGTATCATGTGGAACACCAAGAAGTAGAAAGAGGGAACGAACGATGAAGACGGAGTAGAGAGGTTAGGGCATTCAGAGACTGAAGGATTAAATGGCACGAGAAGAATTGCTTGACCTCTTGACACCCTGCTTTTTAAACGAAAAGGCTTTTCGCCATAAATAATAAAAAAAGATTATCGAGTTTCCAATTTGGACGCTAATATTAATGATGGCAAAAGAGTGATTATGCTATAAACAAAATGAAATGTTATTTATTCCTTCATACGAAGCTCCAAACTACATTTTGGTAATTAGTATAATACTGTACTATAATTTGTGTTGCAAATAGCTATTGATATGCCGAGAAACTATTTTATTATTAACTAAGAAGGCATTTCTCCGATTTCTGAAGGCATGCCGTTTGGTGAAGACAACGCTCGTTGAGATTGGTATTTCTCTGGTTTAGTATTTGTTGCGCAGATTGAGTATGGCCTAATTGGCAATTATAAACACCTCAATCTCACCCAGCTCTTCTAAGCGTGACACGAGTCCTGCTGCTCGAAGAAATGTTGGACCATCTTCGACACCGTGTTGATCCTATGTTGGACAAAACATAATATAGAACAAACATATTATATGCACGAGTTACCCATTTTATTTTAAACCCTGAGAGTGTATTTCGTCTCAGATAGACATACGCATTTACCTTGTTGGGAAGAACAAAGCAAAAGTCACTTCAATGTCATTGCCATAAGAGTTTCAAGGTAGGTAATCAATTGGTTACATTTACCAAATTATTTCACTTTATATTTATTATAATTAAAACAAATAGGTACGTAAAACTAACTGAACTCTTCGTGTACCAAACCTTCTCCTGTCATGCACTACACTGCCACATTTACGAGTTGAGGAGATAAGCACGTTTTGATGAACGATTCTATCGAAGCACAAATAATATATTTAGTTATATAAATCATACGCAACATAAACAATCATAATGATCTTCATAGTGGGTGCATAAAAAGCAGAAAGCAACCATCCGCAGGTGACAACAGAAAAAAAAGCCTTATGATTTAATCATTCACATTGACAACAAGGTATAAAATAAATTTAAAATTTTGCCCACTCGTACTTTGTAAATATTTTCACCGGAAGGAAGGAAGCATTTAAGAAATGTAATTTAACCAATCACCGCATATAAAATAAAATGAGTCAACTGCGCGTTCACAGATTTTAATTTAAAATGCAGTTATTGATAGATTAATACTTCTTAAATGCCTTCTACATACGTTGATGACTGTGGGGAACAAGGATTTCACAAGTGTGTAAATACAAAAACAACCACCATATGGCTTTTTCTTGTTTTATAAAAAAAAAGAACTTTGTATTTTTAAACTTATTCTGCAAACGTTTACAAGAATCAGTTATTTTTACAGAACCATAAGGAGCCTCATAGTTGTTTCCGCATTAACGAACCTGTGAATTCCTCGTTCTATGCTGCCATTGGCGTAGGCGGAAAATTATATTGCAAAAACAGCAATTAACACTCATGCAGTTGGTAGGTCGTTTTTCCACCGGTTTAATATAAAGCAAGAACGCTGCAGAACCGATTAGTTTGGGAAAACACCTGCGCCGTCAAACCAGAATTTGCGTAGTGTACGTATGTTTCGAACCCAAGTTGAACACTTTTATAGCCTAAGTGTGTTGTTTGTCCAGAACTTTAAAGACCTGAAATTCCAGAGAAGCCGATGTATAACCCAACCTAATATTTTTTACCAGCTTATGGATATTAATTCGAAAGCATTAACGGTCCCATGGAGCAACGCCGAACTTGTCTGTGACCGCGAAAAACGACACCTAAATTCTGTTTGTAGCAGCGAAAAACGGCAGCTAAATTTCCATTGGCTGAGCGAAACCGCACCCGAAGTCCCATTGGCCAAAAGCGTAGCAATGCAGATGATTCGTTACGGAAGCTAGCGGGGCGCTCAAGGTCAAAGAAAATACAAAGCGACGCACAGCAACGCAGATGCGTCGTCACGGAAGGCGTGGAGGCGGCGGGGTGCCGCGCCTGCGCCGTGCGGGTGCGTGATCTCACCGCAGGAGCTCGGCGCTGCGCCGAGCTTCGCATTCCAGCCGCTGCCTCACCCAGCGCGCAGCAGTCACCAGCGAGCCAGATCGGTCTGCGCGGCGCACCGCCGCACCCCCTGCCGGCGCTGCGACCGCTTCAGGCGGCGTTCAATCGGACATTATTGCTTTCGCATTCACAACTCATAAAAAGTGCTTAGTCGTCATTAGATTTTTTTTTGTCCCTGAATTTCCAAAACAAGTACCTCAGCTTGGCAACGATGTGTGCTTGTTCGGTGGTCACTTAGATTCTGTGGGCCTCAGCTCCCTATCAAATGCCAGAATTAGGCGTCATTTCTAGTTGATCGGTTGTGCCCTAGATTTGTACAACAAAAACTCCAAACAAAAGCCAGCGTTAGGCTTTCACGTCCAGAAATTGCGACGGGCGCTTATAGTGCAGTTATTCGTCCCGACGTGGCGAATTCACCTTTATATTTTACACCGTGTGCAAATTACCGCCAAAGCAGTGTGTGCGCGCGAGCAAAACATATTAACCACAGATATAAAAAAATATATAACTAGTGACTTCGGTTGCAACATAGTGATACCTTCCTAATTCTTCATTTATTATCTCAGGATAATACTGCGATCAAAGGAATTACTTGGAACTTCTAAACAATTTTGAACAAGTAAGCGCATGTATTTCTATATTTCCTCTTTTTGTTGGCTTGGTATATAATAGGTACATATAAGCATAAATGGGTCTCGCGAGTCTCTCTAAGGAATAAAATATGTGCAGTAATGGGTACTTGATTACAAATCTAAGGATGGATTGTCGGACAATGCATTTAAAGCACATCAATCCCTACGTGTAGTTTTATATCCACTTTACTTCGATGCTCTATTGCCTGGATACTATCGCTTATAAGAACAGTTACCTCGCATCCTAAATTACGACAATATTAAATTTGTTACACCAGTATAGTATACACAGGGTGTTTATTTTAGGCTTTAAATATCATTTTTCCTTTTTAATCCGGGAAATGGTATTTTAATAAACTAACTAATGATGCAGTGTATGCTGGGAGTTGTACGGCCAGATGGACAGATCGGGAAAGGGCTTCCAACCCTTCCCCGAAACCCAAGATAACGTTTCGCTATCTGGATTATGGAAGAGGAAATATAACTGGAATCGCTACTAGAAACCTTAAATCCAGTTCGCAGATCGAGGAATAATTTATAAAAAAACATAAAATCTAGATAGATGTCCAGTTTTATATTTCAGATAGCTAAAAGTTGTAATGAGGTTTGTGCAGAGGAATTTTTACAATAAGTTAGACAATAGACAGAAAGTTGCTGATTACTTCATTATTTATACAAAACAACAACAACATATCATTCGATTTCGAATTTCGCTGAGCGTCGTCGAAAGCACCTAAACACGTGAATTCTGGAAGTAACTGAGATGCATATGTGAAGTGTAGGTTTGCGCTAAAGTTACAATTCGTGCAAACAGCGCAAGGCTGGCGGAGCAAAACGCGGATGATAACTTTTTAAATCGCGTTATTCACGGCAAATCGTCGAATATAGGCGCATACCGAGAAATATCGCTCAGTGAGGGGATGGTAGGGCCGTTTTAGAGCGCAGACCTTAGGCGTCCGTTTCCGGGCGGTCAAGCTTTGTCAGAGTCGGCGTCGTTGTCGGCGCCGACGTAACAGCGCGCGTGTTTCATTAGGGAGTTTTCGTAGACCGCGTTCTCCCCTCCGCTAAGCCCTCCGCAACCAAGAAGCCGCTACCGCGCCTGCGCGCCGATAGCCTTGGCTGTAGAAACCCGGATGTCGTAGCGGGTTGCGGAGAGCATAGCGGGACAGCGGAAACGATCTACGAAAACTGCCTATTATGAAACGTTCCCCGCTAAAGTTAGCGGGAAAATTTTACCGCAAATGTGGCGGGAAATTTTTTTCGCTAAATTTAGCGGAAGCTTTTTTCGCTTAACATACCGGAAAAGCTTTTGCGCTTTATCTAGCGGGGAAATTTTCTCGCTATATTGAGCGGGCAAGTTGACGTCGAATGACATCAACACCAATTCAGTTTCCCCGCTAAATTTAGCGGAGAAACTGCCGTCACGTTTTTGCGTCACGTCAGCCAAGAACTAAGTCGGCGGCAGGAAGAGAGGGCAACGAAAGGTGGAGGGGCAGGGAAGCAGGAGGAGAAGGGGAAGAGCAGGAGGGGGGCGGAGGGGAATGAGAAGAAGAAGGGGAGAAAGAGAGGGCGCAGAGGAGGAGGAAGGGCACACCCTCCCCTCCGTATCCTCCCCTCCTCCTTGTCAAGACCTGCGCTCTAGTTTTAAATTGCAAAAATTTGTAAACGCCTCACTCCTTTATGCATTTGTTGAACTTTTGAAATGTTGGCAAACGCTCCTCGTCAGGAAACCTTTTGAGAACAACCCAGTTTTAAACGAAGTGGGGGAACGTAATGTGTAAGGCATGTAGTTGGGCTAGTTGGTGGAACATACTGTGTGGAGGGAACAGCGCAAAAAGGACGTAGGACGAGGTCGAAGAAACACACAGACAGGGCGCTGACTTACAACTGAAAGTTTATTGCTCTGAAGAAAGAGAAATAAGCACAGAAAGGAGGAAGGGGAGAGAACAAACAAATCAAACCAATAACATGCGGCATCACCCACGCCCACGCTCCGTCACACGAACCTGCCACACGTTCTTACAAAATCCACCTCGTCATTTGCAAGGGCAACCGAAGGAGCGCTCACACACGTGTCAGCTGCGATAGACGCGATAAAAAACGCTTCGTCTATCTCCCTCGCAGTTTTGTTTTTGTGACGAGACAAAATCTTTATGTCACGAAATGACGGCGTGCAGCCACACCTGTCACAATGAACCGCTAGGTTTCCTGAGGGCGAGGAACGCAAAGAAAGGGAATGTTCCCTTGCCCTTACGTTTACACAACGCCCGATTTAACCAATATACACCCTGCCGCAGGACAGGGGGATCTGGTACACGACTTTGACATCGCCATACGGGGTGCGACGTCAAACATCGCACCCCGTATTGCGACGTCAAACATCGCACCCCGTACGTCGCCTGTGTAAGCGGGGTCGTGTACCAGATCCCACTGTCCTGCGGCAGGGTGTATATTGGTCAAACCGGGCGTTGTATAAACGTAAGGACAAGGGAACATTCCCTTTCTTTGCGTTCCTCGCCCTCAGGAAACCTAGCGGTTCATTGTGAAAGGTGTGGCTGCACGCCGTCATTTCGTGACATAAAGATTTTGTCTCGTCACAAAAACAAAACTGCGAGGGAGATAGACGAAGCGTTTTTTATCGCGTCTATCGGAGCTGACACGTGTGTGAGCGCTCCTTCGGTTGCCCTTGCAAATGACGAGGTGGATTTTGTAAGAAAGTGTGGCAGGTTCGTGTGACGGAGCGTGGGCGTGGGTGATGCCGCATGTTATTGGTTTGATTTGTTTGTTCTCTCCCCTTCCTCCTTTTCTGTGTTTATTTTTCTTTCTTCAGA